TAAAACACAACAACATAATCACAAGCCAAATGGTAGTAGTGCTAGCAGTAGTAGTATGTAATAACAAAAACAACAATCTCAGACATTGCGGCGACCAAACTCAACTCATCTCAGCTCAAAGTAAGTCGCTGCTGATGCGCTGCCCACACTCCTTCCAACAAATAACTAAATACATACAACACAGTACGAGTAGTATATTAGTATGCATGCAGTGTACTGTGCAGAATACACACCGCAGGCGGCAATACGAATAAACGAAAGGACACCCATTTCTCAAACAAGCACCTACATACAAACTCATAAATATTTTTGTATACAAGTATAGTTGTTGCAATAAACGATTGCCTACCGTTCTGTTGGTTTGTTTTAGGCTCGTCAAAATGTCTACTTGTTGCTTCATGCAAAAGCTAAAGCAACGTCGAAATGCGAAAGAAAAATGAAAAAAAAAAATGTAGCATAACAACAGGCGTCAAAGCGCGTGAGCTTTTATTTACACAATTCAATGCTGGACAAACTGTAGTTTACGAAAAAAGTCACAACAAAAAACATAAAAGAAGAAATAAAACGAAAAAGAAAGTTAGTAAATTAACTGGTTGGTGGTCTTTGCGCCGTTCATGGCTACTTGCAAATGCGTTTTGTGCGTAAACCTTTGCGTGGAAATTAATAATTGTTTGCAATTACTTACGATGAGAATTAATTAACTTACATACCTATATACATACACACAACTCTCACTGCATGGCACATTGTGGTGGGTTGGCTGGCAGGCAAAATGTCATTTATATATGTACAAAAGTACATACACAGGGGCGGCGGAAGACGTGGGTATGGTGGGTAGTACTACCATATTATTACGAGTTTTCGCCAGGGGTGCTATGTTGTTTTGCAATAAAAACCAATATATTATAACACTTAAAAATTTAAGTAAAAAAATCTGTGATTTTACTTTTGACATTATCAAATTATCTGGCAGCACCAACCTCGTTGTTCAATTGCAAGCCTTGCATGTTTTCAACTTCTTTAAATCTTTTATCGTGTTTAAATTGACAAAAAACAGCCTATTACTTAAAAAAAATGGTGATGTGCCGTAAGTGTTTACAATTAAGTCACATTTACCTATTTTGGATGATGAAATCGGTGAAATTTGCAGGACGTTTCGGCGCCCCTGTATATACATATGTATGTACATGATTAAGTATGTGCGTATGCAAATTAAAACTTTTCGTAGATGTGTGCTAATGTTGTCCCTACTAACACTACTAGGTGAGTTATGTTTACAAGTTATAATTAATTCACTTTCTCAATTAACTCTACTTCAAGGATGCCCACGAAAAACTTGCTCGCAAGCTGGAGTTGTAAAACTATGTAATAAAAAATACGGGTCTCCTTGTTTATTTTCGATATTCTTCACTTCTGGGGGGTGGCAGCTGGAAAATTTCAAAAAGTTGATCTTCCTGTGTATTCGTGGAGCACCCTAGTTTATATATGTATAGACAGTGACTCAAACAAATGACCACGTGTTGATTTTTTCCAAATATTCGTAATCTTTTTCGAGCTAAATTTTTTTTTGTTAATTTAATATAAAAATATCGTCTAAGCTTTAACCAAAACCGTATAAACCGCAGTTTAAAACTTTACACAAAATTTAGGAAAATTCAACAAATATACATAGTATATAGTTTTATAGCCCATACAATTTTAGTCTAATGACGTGCAAGTCTCAAATGGCTAAAAAATCGCGTTGATTTAAAAAAATTTTTTTTGGTGACGGATTTTTGCACTTTTTTCATATAAGTAGGAATTTCTTATGAAATAAAACGCGGGAGACCGTCGGCAACAAAATTCCAAATATTAACGCAAGTTTTTGTAAATTGCGCTTGTTATATTAAAAAAAAAAAAACCGAAAAAGTAGCCTCAAAAAAAAAATTCTTTAAAACTGCATACCCAAAAATTTTCAAAAAATTCAGAATAAAAAGTTAAAGTTTTGAGGCAAAAAAAATCCAAATATCAACGCAAGTTTTTGTAAATTGCGCTTGTTATATTAAAAAAAAAACGAAAAAGTAGACTAAAAACAAAATTCTTTAAAACTGCATACCCAAAAATTTTCTAAAAAAAAATTGGACAGTTTTACTTTTGTTTGTTTAATATTCATAATTTTTTTAAATCTATACATATAACAAAATTATAACAGGCCGATGTCTGTACACTGTAGATATCAAACTTGAATTAATATGAGCAACAGAAGCCAAATCAATAATTTTTAGAACTTTTGTCTGTCAAGTGATTGCAGTTTTCATCGATACCCTGCAGGGAGTGACGTTAGCTTCTACCTAACTTTAGTCTGTTTACGCGAACACTAGTGCTAACTATTAACTGTGTATTTTGTTCGAAAAAAGCTAACTACTTTTGTGGGGCGATGGCCGCAAAAAAGTCAGACCTGGATACCTCTGCATTACATGTCAACTAACTTGTAACTAACTACTTTTGGACATAAAATATCAATAAGAAAAACAAAATATTTTTTTGTNACATTTCATATATGTTTACATATTCTGCTCTGGGTGGCCCCATATTCGATTACCGTCAGACATAACTTCAAAATGATAGTATACAATTTCGATCTTCCTTTTATTTGTCCTCAATATGAAAAAGAATCTGCGAAGTTCTGAAAAAAAGTGTATTGAAAGTAATTTTTGTATGAGGATATTTAATAGAAACTTGTAAAGAAAACCAACTCCCGATTGCGTCTGCATGACTCCTGCACGACTTTACAATTCACTTTAAGTTGGTTTTGTCATAGCTAATTAAAAGTGAGGTATTAATCGAAATCTCGCCAAAAAGCTAACTATAAGTTGGTTAGTTTTAACAATTGATAATTTTTCACTGCAGGGTATATTGCTAGAGGTCTAACTTAAAATATAGATGGAAAAAATGGAGTGTTGCCACCTGCTTGAAAATTGCAGCTTAAGAAAATTGATAAGATAAAGTAAATATTGCAATATGGCTGCCAAACGAGAGAGGTTTAAGTAGGCATGCAGCCGAAAATATTTTTGTTAAAGGTTGCCGCCTGTTTGAAAATTTTAATTAAATTTAATTGATAAGATAAATTGAATATTGCAATATGGGTATCAAATTGAAAAGGTTTAGGAAAGTTTAATGACGAAAATATTTTGGGGTTGCCACCTGTTTAAAAAATTGTAATAAATTAAATTGTTAAAATAAGTGAAATATTACAATACGGGTATCAAACAGCAAAAATACTTTTTTGGCGCAATGCTGCACGCCGGGTATTTGCTAGTAAAAAAGGGGTTGTATACATGACTTATGAGTAACATAATTTCCTGCTCCCATTTCATCCAAAAAAATCATTACGCATTTTCAATTGACCATTTACAACTTGTTAGTTTATCCATCGAATTTAATCGTTTTTTTGCAAATGAAAAGGCTTTAATACAAGTAAAATTTTTTGTCTATTAAAAATTGACTTTTTTCTTAAAAGTGAAAATATCTTGGGAAAATAACCTGGTCTACGATTCAAAGGAAAGTTTACATGTTTTGGGGGTTATTTGTGTTACTCAAAAATCAATCAAACATAAGCGCACAATATTAATAAAACACAAGCAGGTGAGCTAATGAACTAATAAAAGTGCTTCTCTACCAAAAAATGATTTGAGTACACATAAAAACATAATTTACACATGAATGTATGTACATTAGATCGAAACTGTTCAATTTCGAAAAAAATAAAATTTGGCGACCCTTAAGGAAGTTAAGGAAGTATTTTAGTTATTCCAGTAGACCTATTTTAAACAAAACTTTTTACAGCCGGAATGTTCATACGTGTGACCGAAGAATTTAAAGAGGCCACCCATAAGATCGGCTAAAGAAATTTCTTGTTTCCGAATTGCCTTGCAAAATTACTTTAAATTCAGAGGTGCGCGACGCACTTTATTTCCTTTGGCACAGTCTAATGTACATACACATGTATGTATGTATATTGCGAGTGTAAGCGATAAAGCAAACAAATATTAAGGTAAGCAAAGAATCGGCATTGAGAATTTAGCTACAATGTGCTTGCATTCAACTCGATCTTTTATAATTTTTAATGTTTATATGTTTTTGTGTTTTTTGTTATTATCACATTGCCGATACTTATCTCTGCTTGATATTTATAGCTTCTTTTTTGCGTTCTTCTTACATTTTTGTAACTGTTTAAAAAATTTTACAAATCCACCATGGCTGTTTGTTTACGATAAGATAAGTGATAATACAAAAATGAAATCGAGGAGCACATTGAGACAGTGGAAAATTCTAAAAGCTTTACAGACACTCGTATAAAATCGTACACATAAAGGCCAATAGAATGAATGTCAAAGCAACTAGATATAAAAGC